TTTAGTTTCCACTATCTTCAGTCAACATTGTTGTTACTCAGAGGTTATTGATGTGCTGTTTCTTCACCTGTCAGTAAAACTTTATGGGTCCTACTTTGACATGTTATTGTTTGTTTTCTAGTAAATGATTTGTTTTGTTTTAATGAAGAAATCTGTAATTACATTTACATGTATCTGTTCAACTCAGGAAAAGTGTATTCACTGAACAGAAAAAAAATACAGCCTCTTTTAAATTCTGTAAAATATTTGTACTTTATAAGGGATCAATCTGAATAGTGATTTAATGTAAAACACCCAGTTTGTTATATCTTATAAACTACATAAGCTGTTATGTTTGATTAAAATATAGCTTTTAAAGTATATGCATTACCATGTTTTAATTTAGAGGAATTTTTTATTTGCTTGTCTTTTTGGTGTTTGTGTGTTTTTCTCTTGTTGGTTCTTTTAAATTTTCAAAGAATTAAAAAGCACTGAAATTTATGTAACACTGTACACCAATTAACGGCACTCTATCAAGTTTATGTGATTCAAATAACACGTTGCATAAATTTCCCAAGTCAAATGTAGACAATCCTTACTTTGTGTACCTCCACATCAATCAGTAGATACATGTATGGACTCTTTCTGTTGAAAGCAGCCTGATATCATAGGCAGGACTAATTCATTTCCAGAAATAAACCAACAGATTCAATATTGTGTGTATTTCTTGAAAAGATGCAGGATTGTGTTAACAAGTGTAAAACTTTGAAACATCTTTAAATAAAGTCATTTTACATTTGAGTCTGTTGGACAAATGTTAATAAGGTTTTATTGATGTCGGTGTGCTACTTGTAACTCATCACTCATATTTTTAATATAATCTGTGATCATAACTAAGAGTAAAACTACGTAAAATTTGAATCTTGTGGAAACTAAGCTTGAGTGTAGTGGTGCAGTGTGAGAAAAACAAGTGAACTAAACATTTGTTTTGTTAGTTCTAATACATGTTTATGTGCAAGTTAAAACTCCAGGGGGACATAGGCATGAAAAAGGTTTAACACAATGTGTGCTTCAAACCACTCCTCTTCCTGGAATAGATCAGAAACAGAAAACTCCTCCCCCTTCTATCTGAAAGACAGCACCTCCTCTTTGTCCATGTCTCTTTGTTCCCTCTTATTCAGTCAACCGTTTGAAGACTTTTGTAGATTAATCTACAAAGAACGACAATAATAACACAGTTTGACAGGGTTATGAGCATTTTGGATCAGCACAGTTATTCCCAATGAGCTATTAGCCACAAACTTCCCGTGCCTCAGCATGGAGTGCAGTATCTACAACAGATAAATACTTGACTTTCAGATACAGGTTAAGTAATAGAATGGGCGTAACCAACATGTGGTGACGTGTAACAGCTGACAGCCTGCATTTCCTGTTGATTAGATCAGAGCTCAGACTAGTTTCACTTGTACAAAAGACAAACCAGCACGTCTTTGTTTCTAAAAGGAGAAATGTCGCAGAAAGAAATTAGAACGGATTATGAAATCATTTCTTGTTTTAACTGTTTGGATCTACCGAAGGATCCGGTGACTATTCCCTGTGGACACAGCTACTGCATGAACTGTATTAAAACACACTTTGATGAAGAGGACAGGAAGGGAATCCACAGCTGCCCTCAGTGCAGGAAGACTTTCACACCGAGGCCTGTCCTGGAGAAAAATGTCATGTTAGCAGAGTTAGCCGAGAAACTGAAGAAGACTGGACTCCAAGCTGCTCCAGCTGATCACTGCTATGCTGGACCTGAAGATGTGGCCTGTGATGTCTGCACTGGGAGGAAGCTGAAAGCCATCAAGTCATGTTTATTCTGTCTGAGCTCTTACTGTGAGAAACACCTCCAACCTCACTATGATGCAGCTCCATTAAAGAAACACAAGCTGGTGGCCCCCTCCAAGAAGCTTCAGGAGAACATCTGCTCTCGTCATGATGACGTGATGAAGATTTTCTGTCGTACTGATCAGCAGAGTATCTGTTATCTCTGCACAATGGATGAACATAAAGGCCATGAAACAGTCCCAGCTGCAGCAGAAAGGACTGAGAAGCAGAAGGAGCTCGAGGTGAGACGACTAAACATCCAGCAGAGAATCCAGGAGCGAGAGAAAGATGTGAAGCTGCTTCAACAGGAGGTGGAGGCCATCAATGGCTCTGCTGATAAAGCAGTGGAGGACAGTGAGAAGATGTTCACTGAGCTGATCCGTCTCCTCCATAAAAGAAGCTCTGATGTGAAGCAGCAGGTCAGATCCCAGCAGGAAACTGAAGTGAGTCGAGTCAAAGAGCTTCAGGAGAAGCTGGAGCAGGAGATCGCTGAGCTGAAGAGGAAAGACGGCGAGCTGGAGCAGCTCTCACACACAGAGGATCACAACCAGTTTCTACACAACTACCCCTCACTGTCAGCACTCAGTGAGTCTACACACTCATCCAGCATCAATATTCGTCCTCTGAGCTACTTTGAGGATGTGACAGCAGCTGTGTCAGAGACCAGAGATAAACTACAGGACATTCTGAGAGAGGAATGGACAAACATCTCACTGACAGTCACTGAAGAGGATGTTTTACTGTCACCACCAGAGCCAAAGACCAGATTCTTAAAATATTCACATGAAATCACACTGGATCCAAACACAGCAAACACACATCTGTTATTATCTGAGGGGAACAGAAAAGTAACAATAATGAGACAAAAGCAGTCTTATTCTGATCATCCAGACAGATTCACTGGATGGCTTCAGGTCCTGAGTAGAGAGAGTCTGACTGGACGTTGTTACTGGGAGGTGGAGTGGAGAGGGAGAGGAGTTGGTCTTGCAGTTGCATACAAAGATATTGACAGAAAAGGGAGCTTAGATGAATGTAAATTTGGATTTAATGACAAATCTTGGTCTTTACGTTATGATACAAATGGTTTTCAGTTTTGGCACAATGAAGTCCAAACTGTCCTCTCAGGTCCTCGGTCCTCCAGAGTAGGAGTGTACCTGGATCACAGAGCAGGTATTCTGTCTTTCTACAGCGTCTCTGAAACCATGACTCTCCTCCACAGAGTCCAGACCACATTCACTCAGCCGCTCTATGCTGGACTTCGGTTCTTTTATTATGACAATGACACCGCAGAGTTCATTAAACTGAAATAGACAGAAATGATTAAAGGACAGTTGGTTAACACAGGTTTTTTTGTTTTTTGTTTTTTTAGTTTCCACTATCTTCAGTCAACATTGTTGTTACTCAGAGGTTATTGATGTGCTGTTTCTTCACCTGTCAGTAAAACTTTATGGGTCCTACTTTGACATGTTATTGTTTGTTTTCTAGTTAATGATTTGTTTTGTTTTAATGAAGAAATCTGTAATTACATTTACATGTATCTGTTCAACTCAGGAAAAGTGCCATTCACTGAACAGAAAAAAACCTTTAAACTTTTTAAACTCTGTAAAATATTTGTACTTCATAAGGGATGGATCTGATTAGCAATTTAACGTAAAAGTTTGTTATAGCTTATAAACTACACAAGCTGTTATGTTTATAGCTAATATAGCTTTTAAAGTATATGCATTACCATGTTTTAATTTAGAGGAATTGTTTATTTGCTTGTCTTTTTGGTGTTTGTGTGCTTTTCTCTAGCTGGTTTTTAAAAATTTTGAAAGAGCAAAAGAACACTGAAATATGTGTAACACTGTACAACCAAGTAATGGCCCTCTATCAGGTTTGTGTGGATTCAAATTACACATAGTGTGAAATTCCCCAGTCAAATGTAGAAAATACTGACTTTTTGTACCTCAACACCAATCAGTAGATACATGTATGGGATCCGTCTGATGAAAGCAGACTGATATCATAGGGAGGACAAATACATGTGAAGAAATTAACCAACAGATTCAATATTGTGTGTATTTCTTGAAATAATGTAAGATTGTGTTAATAAGTGTAAAACTGACAGATCTGTAAATGAAGTGATTTTACATTTGAGTCTGTTGGACAAATGTTAACAAGGTTATATTGATGCTGGTGTGGTACATATAACTCATCACTCATATTGTTATATTGTGTGTTGTTAATGTATTAAAAAGGTTAAACACTGGTAGCTCCTCTTTGTCCACGTCTCCTCGTTCCCTCCCATTCCGGTCAGACTAGTTTCACTTGTATAAAAAACAAACCCACACGTCACTGCTACTAAGAAGAGAAATGGCGCAGAACGAAGCTTAAACAGGTGATGAAATAATTTCTTGTTTCAGCTGTTTCGATCTACTGATCACAGCCTGTACACTAAGAAAACCTACTTGAGCTCTCAGTATAAATTATTGTGAGATGTGACTTTTTTCAAGACAACTGAGCCATTACAACTAATTTAAGGGTTCCTCCACCTGCTGAATCCACTTTAACCCTTTTAGAGTCAAAGTCACCCTCTACAATGTAGGCAAAACAAAATAGAGCCATTTTTTTATTTTCTTCTTTTTCTCTGCTCATGCTCCACTAATTCAAGCTGAGTTCAGCTAGAATTACAAATAAGACTAAAATTGTCCTGGTCCTGGGTCTGTGACCCAGTGTTTTGTGTTTTTTTGGCTTAAGTTATGCTTTTTGAATTATGGTGTTCTGTTTGTATTGCAATTATAGTTTCTGGTTTCTCTGTTCTGTTTCTGTACCTTCCCTGTGTTCCACGCCTGGTTACTTTTGTTTCTGTGCTTCATGTGTACTCTGTTCCCAGGTCTGTCATGTCTCCAGGTCTCGGTGTCTAGTTTGTGTCTCTATGAATGTCATGCTTCCTGGTTTATTTTGATAGTCCCATCCCGTGTGTAGGTTGTTTAGTTTTGTTTTTCACGTTACTCATTATGTCTTATTAGTCCCAGGTGTGTTTCCCTCCTGTTTCTCACTCCCTCATTACTGCCTGTGTATTTAAGTCCTCTGTTTGCCTCTGTTTGTTGCTGG